CTGACCAGTTCACTATACATGTCTTGGTTGAAAGACGCCGAGGTGTTGATTTGTGCGTGTTCATTCGAACTTGAAGCCTCGCCGTCGTCACGGACAGGTGACCATTGATTCCATCGAAGGAACTCACAGTCTAGGAGACTCTTTGCCCAGCGACGCCGTGACATCAACGCACTGGCTGTAAACATAGTTATGCGTCACGGTTCAACCCACTGTGCTAGCTTGCCGTTGTCACTTGATTTGAACTAGTTAGTCTAGTCTAGTCTAGTCACCCACCGCAACAGAAAAGCGTGAATGGTGAAACCAGATGATTTGCCGATGTCCTGAACAACTTTACTCAACATAATTTCGTCTGTAATTTCTTTTCTTGTCTGCTGCATTCGAAATTGTTTTTACTTTACAAATTTGACTTTTGTTTTGATTTGAGACATTATTATTCTGCTGTTTATTATCATTTCGAAAGCCTCTATCGCTATTCTATGGAAAGTGCTCAGACGAACGATATTCCTTAGTTCCGCCAGTTTTAACCTTCACGGTTAAAACGTACCATGCCTCGCCCATAGAACTACCCTCATTCCATTCGTATTCAATTTTTGAGATGTAACTTCCTCTCGAGAAGATTCGTACTACTGAAAGGAGGCGTTTTGCTAATAACAACAATCTTAATCAGTTCACCTCTAGGATTAACTGTTATCTTACCAACATATCATAAACTATGCCTCTTAAAAAGAAACCTTCTACCTCGTAAGGCTCACGGGCCTTGTACAAGGTGAATATTGCTTTAAAAATATGATATTCAATTGTGCAAAGTTCGTTAGTACTTTATTACCACCGTCGCACACTGCCACATTTCCATAACGGAAATATTTAGAAATATATTACTGACAACACAGGTTTCCGATAACTATTCCACCTATAGAGCATATGCTGTATTCGCATCCGTTTGATGTCCAAACAAGTACAAAACAACTGAATAGCAAGTTTAGCCGTTTTACCTTTCATCCAGACATCTTTGGTTTTGGTGTGAATTTTGTGACAAAGAGTAAGCACGAATCTCTAAAAGTGTGCCACAGCATCTTTTCAGTCCTCAGCGTTGTTGCAACATGGATTGTTGCCACACTTCTTGGAAACATACGCTCCTAAAATCACGCTAATGGGTTTTCGTCAATTCTAATGGAAATCCATGAAGAAACCGTCTCTAGATGAAGTGGAAAGAATTGATGATCTTAATATATATATATATGTGTGTGTCTGTGTGTATGCGTTTGTGCGCGCATGCGTGTGCGCGCGCGCTTGTGTGTGTGTGTGTGTGTGTGTGCTTTCAGCTCATCATTTCCTCCAAATTCAACTATGGAATCTTCACGGATTTCCATTAGAATGTTTGAAAATCCATTAGCGTGATTTTAGGAACGTATGTTCCCAAGAAGTGTGCCAACAGTCCGTCTTACAAAAGTGCTGTGGCCTGAAAAGATGATGTAGTACTTTTTTCCAGATTCATTATTACTGTCTGTCACTAAATTCATAGCAACATCCTCTCATTCTCGCTCTCTATATATATCTATGATATGTTATATATACATATCCCGTATATTTTCAACAATAAGGAGACACTGAACATCCAGACATTTTTTCCAGGTTTATCTGATATCCGTAGGACGAAATTATAAATGACGGTGTTTATGTGTATATTTCTGAGATGAGGTATTATGTACACTATTTACATTATTCGGACTATTGTCTTCCACCTGAAGAAGGCCAAAACGTTGTGATAAATATGACAACAAAGATGAGGACAATAGTCCGAATAATGTAAATACACGATTTTTGTCACGAACTGTCTGCATCAGATGGTGATGGTCATAGTAATTTTGAATGGTGTTATTCATGTATGGAGGTATCTTATGTTGTTCTCTCTAATGAGAAATAATTATTTTATGGAATCATAAATGTCCTAATGCAAAAAGACCGTAAAATGTATGTTACAGAAATAAAGTTTTATATTATACTAAATAATATTGATATTTAACTCCATAATGATAATGAAATTTAATTAGAAATATCGATTGTACTGTTATCCTAAATGTTTTTATTTAACACTAATATGAGAAATCATAATTGGGGTGAAGGCACCCACAGCTCTACAAATCAAGAACGAAAGATTTGTTTACGTTACTAGTTATTTGATTGTGTTACTCAACGGAACTTTTGTCCACTCACCTCTTGAATATTTCATTTTAATGTGAAATCTAGAAGTAAAAGTAGCTTTATCAAAATATAGTACAAAATGTGAATAGTTTCAACAGAAATATTTACATCGGTGATTTCTAAGATTGAAAGGTTACTTTATACACGGAAATATGCAGTGTATACACCCACACAATAATTAATTATATATATATATATATATATATATATATATATATATATATATATATATATATATATAGTCGACTCTTTCCGTCGAATTCAACATATCAGGGTCAAGGAGATCAGTTCTCAGGAAACTGACAGCCCGACAACAGCACATGAGATTTGATTATCGTGGTGAAGGTTTCGTACAGGACCATCCACAATTTTGGATGTCTGAATACAGAGACCTAGTGCACTAAGTGCCACAAGGTCCCCAAACGTCCTCCCTTGAATATATATATATATATATATATATATATATATATATATATATATATATATATATATATATATGTGTGTGTGTGTGTGTGTGTGTGTGTGTGTGTGTGTGTGTGTACTAGGTTAACCATAAACTCGTTGGATTCCTTTTAAAGTAATTCATGATAATAAATGATGAAGTAACATTTGTATTATTAATTTTATTATTAATTTCCAATACAAGTTATTGTGATAATTATTACTACTCACATTATTACAATATTACTATTATGTAAATTACATTATTACAATATTGCTTAAAATCAAACTGAATATTATATTAATAAATATAATGGTTTTCAGAATTTGTGACAAATTGGGGATTTTACAATATTTTCTGAATTAAATTCAACTGGAAGTTTAATGATAGACGTTAAGTTATAGAGCAACAGACTTTCAGAACGAACAATAAATTAGCAATACAAAAATACATTGGCCTATCATCGTTCCAAGTATTTAAACTGGCTAGAATTTGGAACATAACTTTAATGCAAGTCTTTGCTGCAGGAGGTAATAGCTTAATATAGCCACGGGGGATAATTTATATATAGAAATCTGGGATGTATATACTCTTTTAGTGCAATTAGTTTTATTTTTTCTTGTTATATATTTTCAAATTTATAATTATATTTTGTAATACTTACTTCCGAAATTTATTACGAAACGGCGGCAAATCAGTGTACACGCACTTGTTTATTTACCATCAAATCACTTAGAATCTCGTAGAATTTTCCAACCGTACTCATTACTTTTGACAATGACACCTCCATATAGTATCCTCACCAAGTACTTCTCACACATTTATTCATATAAAATGGTCAAATGTAGTGTAGTGAATTGTATAAATACATAATATGCTATGTATATTTAAATTTATTTAATAATGTTATTATGTATTTATTATTTTTCAACAACATAATATTTGAAATATGATATTCAAGTGCTTGTTTATATATGCAGAATGGAATACGAATGTGAATATGAATTAAAAAGAAATAATGACTTTTCCTATTAAAATGTTGGAAAAAAAGTAAATTGCACTAGCTGACGAATCCTTAGTCAAATGTTAATGAAATTTGGCATTGCACTTGGTAGATGCTCAAGATACAATATGCTCCTACATTAGCTGAAGTATTATGCATCTTTTAACCTGTATCTCGGAAACAAGCACACATCCGTAAATACATACAAGACTTACATACATACAAATTAGTGCTTTAGCATATATATATATATATATATATATATATATATATATATATATATATGTAGAGAAAAGAGAAGCTGCAACCGTTTTTTGTTGTAATGTGAATGGTTTTATATGGAAAATATGAATCCATATTCTCAACATGGGTATATAATATGTCATATAATATATATATATATATATATATATATATATATATATATAATCCACATCATATGCATAAACTTTTGCGGTTTCACTTATCTCTAAAATTTACACTTTTCTCTCGTTGGAAAATATAATTCCTCGCTGACACACACACACACACACACACACACACACACACAAACACACATTCACACAAACACACACGCATATATGCATATACATGTGTGTGTGTGTACAGTGTTTAACGTAATAACACACAATGTCTGTTTAAAAATAAATATAAATATATATTTAGAATTTTTTTATTTTTTTTTACATTTTGGATTCTAAATTAAATTTAGAATTTATGCCCTTCAAGTGACCTGAAAAGAAAAAGTGTCATTCCTAAATCGGGTGATTGAAGTTTGGTCAATATTGAAAACTTCTCGTAAGAAAACAAACAAATGATGCCCTTTCTCTCTATCTTCTCTCTCTATATATATATGTATGAATATATATAATAACAAAAACCTTTAGATAAACCTAAATATATATAATATTATGTACACATGTAAGCAAATTCAATCTATCCTCATCTTGCACAACTTCTCTCTTTCTCTCTCTCCATTTCTCCTTCTCTCTCTGTTGTTGTTTATCTTATATATATATATATATATATATATATATATATATATATATATATATATATATATATATATATATATATATATACATACACGCTGTTCATTACCCATGTTAGATTGATTTCTCTTTATCTCTCTCTCTATATATATATATATCTTCTCTCTTCCTATGTTCTTTAAAATTTCTATCTAGCTACACTGTTTATTACCTATATTAGACTGAACTATCTATCTCCCTACTTTCTACCTATATATATATACCGGTTACTGTTTATGTTTCACTTTCTCTGTCACGATAAATTTATCAATTTTTATATCCCATCTCCTCATGTAATCAGTCGTAATCTTTCCATATGTAGGCTTACGTCTCTTATTCCAATTTGACCATATATTCTATTCCTCGTTCTTCCACCTTCTCTCTCTCTCTCTTTCTTTTCTCTCTCTCTCTCTCTCTTTCTATCCTTTATTTTCCTTGTCCGTTTCTTGTCTTATTGATAGCTTTTTCTGTCTCTTCGTATTCTTATTATATATTTTTCATATTATTTCTTGTAATCATGACATTTCTTCTTTTAATCGCAATTGTTTTTTTTTTCTTTCTAGTTTAGATTTACTCTTTTTGTTCCTTTCAGATCTAAAATCATTTTTGCAAAGAGATTATCATGAATTCTTTCCCTTCATCCTGAAGCAAGTATACATCATATTTTGCTTATTCTCAACTCTTACTACCATTTTATAGCCACCAATGTATATTTAAACATCCACTTCATTCAACCCATGTCGACCTGAGAACTGGGAATATGGCTACTTCATGTCAAAGAGACACATAAAGAAGCCAATTAATAGGCAAGAACGCATTCCATTCCAAAGAGTATTTTATTGAACTTAATTTCAAGTGATTTCGCTATGGTAAGCATCCCATTATTTACATTATTCGGACTATTGTCCTCATCTCTGTCGCCATATTTATTACAACGTTTCGGCCGTTGTACGCTCCGGCCTTCTTCAGCTGGTTGGAATGTCGAACTGAACCGTTTATTTCGCTCACTGGGTTAGACTGTCCTCGTGCCATTTTTTTTTAATGGATGTCATTTATCAGTTATCTCCTGTTAATTTCCCTCTGAAAGTTCTCCACTTCAAAACATGTAAATAATGTACATAATGTACATAATACCTCATCTCAGAAATATAGACAGGTAAGTATTCCAGTTAAAAATTCTTCTTCTTCTTCTTCCTCTTCTTCTTCTTCTTCTTCTTCTTCTTCTTCTTCTTCATTATTATTATTATTATTATTATTATTATTATTATTATTAATATTATTTTTATTTTCTTCGATTTCTGGCGTTTACACATTTCTTTCCGGCCAGGGACCTAAGGTTAGAAATGGCGTCATGACACTTTCCACTGACAAAAAAAAAAAAAAATTACATAGATAAAGCCCTTCGTAAGGTGTGGGCTGTACTTATCAGAACAATTTTTTGTATCTCCTTGAGGCATGGACTTCCAGGAATCCCTTCAATTAGTCTACTGCAATCTTTTCCAACCAATCCTAGGGCTCCAACTACAACAGGGATTGTTGATGTTCCCATATGCCACATTTTCGAGATTTCTATTTCAAGGTCCTTGTACTTTGACAACTTTTTGAATATCTTCAAAGATACATTGCAGTCAGCAGGGACTGCCATATCAATAAGGAGGCACCGTTTTTGTTTGTGGTCTTTAATAACAATATCTGGCCGGTTGGCCTTGATTGTTCTGTCAGTGTGTATTGTGTAGTCCCATGGAATTGTAACAGGTCATATCTCCGTAACCGGGTCTGGGTGGTGTTCATACCAGTTACTTTCAGTTTCCTTCACGTAGAAGTTACAGATTTTCCAGTGCAGATATTGGCCCACTCTGTCATGTCGGGTTTTATATTCAGTGGGTTCTAACACCGTGCAACCTGATAGAAGATGATCAATGGTTTCTGGATATTTATCACAGAATCTGCATTTTGGGCTGACACAATATTTTAGTATATGTGTTTGATACTTCTTAGTTAGCAAGTATTGGCCCTGCACAGCAAGGATAAAACATTCAGTTTCCGCTTTCAAACCTGCACTACGTAGCCATTGATGGGTACGGGTTTTGTCTACGTCAGCTTGTTTGATTGTTATAATGTTCAATCATAAACTTGTCAGTTTTCCAAACTATTTAGTCAGATGCGTTTCGTCTGTCCTTGTTGATATACATGTATATGTGTATTTTATCTTTTAAACCGATATATATTTACTTGATTGTGAAACTCTCAGTAGCGTCAGACGGTGTTTTCTACTGCAAAGGGAGACGCAGATTCGAATTCTGCCGGCGGGGGGGGGGTTATTTATTAATTTATTTGAGTGTGGAAACTAGTGGTCGAAATAAGTACTGTTTAAATAAAGGAGGTATCTACTCAAATAGGGGTATCCGCTAAACGTAACGTTTAAACTAAGTATATATGTGTGAAGGTGTATTTCTGTGTTTGTCTGAGGGTGTGTTTGTGTAAAAAAAAAGTAACGAATCATGTCAAAAAAAAACGAGACAGAAGCTAAACGGGAAAAGTTTTTTTTTTTTTTAGTTTAAAAAAAAATGTCCAATGGAGAACATTTGAGAAATTATAAAATTAGCCGAAACGAAAAAAAAAAAAAAAATGAAAAAAGAAGTACGCCATTTCTCGGGGAACGGCACCACGACACAAAAAAATTGCGGTAAAACCCCAAGCAACAAATAGGGATATAAAAACGAGAGAAAAAAGAACGATATTAATAAAGAAAACAAGAGAAACATATACATACACCTTTTCTCTGAATGTCGGGCAGTATTTATTCTTCTTTTATGTACTCTGTCCCTTCAGGTCATACCCGTTCATGGCTCTCCATTTCTTCCTTTTCCTTTATAGCTCTCAAAAAGGTTTGTGTTTTTGTTATTTCTACCAGACCCTTTTCTGCCATTCACTTGCATAACCCCGTTAAGTATGTCATGCGTTGCTTTCTATTGTCCCTCTTTCCGTCCTGTGAGTATCAGATTTTCAAAGCCCACCTTTCTCATTACATTCCCAGTAAATTCAGTCACCTCTTCCAGATGTTAATTGTAACTTTCCTTTTTTTTTATCCTCTTCAAAACCTTATTGTTGCTCACATGTTTGATCCATGGTATCCCCAGCATCCTTCTGTAGAATCACACTTCTGTTGCTGAGAGTCTCTTCTTCGTCTTTGAGGAGACCGTCCAGCATTCTTTACCGTAAATGAGGACAGATATCAGGTAGCAGTTCCGTACTTTGTTACCAACGAAACCTTCCTGCCTCGTAATACTCTTACTAGCTTTCAGAATGCGTTTTCGGCCATGCCAGTAAGTCTTCAGATCTCAGCGTATCAGTTCTCAGATATTTAAATTTCCGCGCCTGCTTGATTTTAGTGTCTGGAAACCTGTAAAGCGCATTTTGGGCTCATTTTTAAGGTGATGAGCCTGCATTTTTCTTCTTCTTATACTCTTTATATTCGGACTTTTATCTTCATCTGTTGTTGTTATCACAAATTTTTCTGTCATTGTTCTCTCCGGCCTTAGGCGTATATCGTTATACGCCTAAGGCCGGAGAGAACTGGGTAATCTGCTGGGAATTCTGAATTGAGCTGTTTATTTAATCACGTTCTACTGCTCATGTTTAGGGATATCAACTAGTTTTTGTTTTTATTTAGTACTGTTCAATTATTGCTTGATCGTTTCCACTGAGTACATACTGCCTGATTCAGGAATTTTATTCCCAAAGACAATGCCACCACATTCACAAACTAAAGTTTTTATCCAGTAAATTTTGAGGATTAAACCTAACCTAGCTGCTGATTAGTTTGCAACTGCTGCTGTTAGCTCTCTTGTTTCTTAGTCCGGATATAAACAAGGGATATAAATGCAAACACGCTAGATGGAATCGCAAGGTATAAGATAAGCCCAAAGTAAGAAACCGAATAGAAAATATGGTAACAAACAAAATAACAACAAAAACAGAATCTATATTAGTAATTAGAAAATTTACGATATTTCTTCATCCTCATAACGCAAATCTGAAAAGAGTCTGTACCTTGAAGATGAGCAATATAAATTTTTGTATGTGAGTGCTTTCGCACAGTGAATTAAAAATGAATAAAAAAACACAATCAGGAATAAGAAAAATGTTGTAATGCAATGTCCCACACTCCCTATCGCCTATGCGAACTGACTATATCAGTTGCTAGATATAGTGAGCACATGATATACCTGACGGCTTGCTTCGAGAATTAGTTTAGAGTCGGAGCTTCGTCTCCAGCTGTGCTGGTCAATCTCTCTGCCATCGGACAGAGAGGATCCCTAGACAAGGCTCTGTCGAAGGGCAGATTCTCGTCTCGGGAAACAGCTACCCGATCCTGTTTAATACGGGGAATTTTTAGCCGAGCCTACGGGCTCGGATACCCCACATTAAATTCGTCATTGTGCCTCATCTGACAGTGTGGAGCGGTTGGTAGATATCTATGCTTCAGGAATTACTAGCCTGCCATCCGATTTCCTGTCTTTTCTTAGTGTTTTACAATAAACATCTCTTGTTTTATTTACGCCCGTGTTGTTCCCTCAGTCGAGTACCATCTATGTCTGTTTCTAACCTCTTTAAGGATAGGACAAAAAGAGTGAAATAATATCGAAGACAATCAAAACAATATAGTTTATGCTGATAAGCTGGTAAAATGCTCGATAATATGACGTAATCGAGAAAGCCGGGCTGTATTTTGCAAGAATTAACAATTATCGTATTATCAATAATAAAATGTATAATAAATCATAAACTACACGTATTTTCTCTGATCAAAGAAATTACTTAATTTTAAAAACAGCATAAACGATGAATTTTAATCCTTGACGGAATTATGAAAATACTTGTTTTCCGTAAAAGACCGACATATCTGACAGCAAAAATTCGTCTGCTAGACATCGCTAAGAACGAAAAAATCGTCTCGTCATTTCGAAACATAAATATCTGGAGTGCAGAAAATATAGGCCATCATATCGACCATAGACTGGCTAAGCTGTTAATCGTAGTCGCGGTTCAATATTTCAATTGTATTGTCGCAGGAGGTTGAAATAAAAAGAGATCAAAGGATTAAGAAAACGTGAATCTATATAAGAAGAATATATCGAGAATTATGTGCGCCTTTACATAAGACTTTGCGTAGCGAGAGGAAATAAAGGCGGTGATGACGCAGGTGTGACAGAAAAAGCACACATATTATTGTCTGTGTTCTTTTGTCTAGATATATGCATGAACGTGTATACATATAATTTTTTCAATATATATATATATATATTTTCTTCAACTTATATACATATATATAGATATATAGATATAAATGTATACATATATATATATGCACATATATATATATATATATATATATATATATATATATATATATAAATTTATGTATGCGTTATTGTAAGAAAACCAACAGTACCTAGATTCTCACTATCGATCTTCCAAAATAGTGTGCATATATATATATATATATATATATATATATATATATATATATATATATTTGAGCGTGTCTGCTTGTGCGCGTCTGTA